AAAATAGAGAGCAAAATGGTTTTTTTTTTTTTTTTTTTTACTATTCCTTTCATTCTTAAAAGATGACCAAGTACCTGTGCGGTACAGTTCAGTCGCTCCTCTGAAGAAACGTGGCAGGGCTGCCTCGAGCATCATGATAAAATCCTCCAGCTCCTCAGTCACTCCCACAAGCAGATACTCATTCACCAAATTATACTTGGCCTGCTCGAGAGCCCACTTACTGCCAACATTCCTGCACAAACAGACACATAAGATCATTTCCAGCTCCTACATACAGCAGTTTAGAGAACAAATCAGTAAAGAGTAAATCAATCAATTTGTCTAATGCGAACGAGCATTACATGAAAAACAGAGTAACAGGCTGCTCATATTACCCACCAGCACTCAGAGTAATGGCCACAGAAGAATGGGATCTGTAACCAAAGCTTCTCAGGAGAGCAATCAGAACCTCCTGATGACACACACTCCTCAAATGTCTGAAACACATTCACACATATTGCATCTTAGCATGCACATGGAGAGAAAATTAATAGTTACTTTGAATAATAGTTCAAAAAGATAATACCTTTTTGTCCCCCTGCTTTCTCCGCCTGAGACCTGGCCGATAATCATCTCCAAATCGGAGAAAATAGTAGTAAGACACCAACCTCTCGATAGGGTCCCGTACAATGTTGATGTAAACCGGCTTCCCCTTGACTCCAAACCTATTCAGGCAAACATTATTTTATATTATATTATAATTTATTTTATATTATATTATGTTATATATTATGTGGAGTCCACTCCACAAGACACCTGTCAAAATGCTTATTTTTTTACATTTTATTCTAAATTCTTAATTTTCCATTTTCTTCGTTACAATTATATTATCACCACAACAATCTGTGAAAAAAATCAAAATTGAATACAAATTTCTAAATTTCAATATATGTTATGTTCCTTTTGATCATGTAAAACAAAACAAAAATAAAACCTAATACAAACCAAATCAAAACAAAAAAATTCTGATTTCAGATTTAAAATCCACAAGAAAAAATAAAAACGTTCCACTTTCAACCACTAGAGTGCAGCACTTAAACGTATCTTCTCACATCAGTAAATTAAGTAGCTGTCTGATGGATGTCCAATTTTACAGGAACAGACAACAACAAATGTGCTATTAGATAAGGACTTGTGGGTCCTTATCTAATAAGGAATAAGGAATCTAAGTGGGATAAGGAAGTGTAGTGCAATTGCTTCCAGTGATCGTAGTGATGGTTTTGTATCAATCCAGCAAAACTTACTTTGTGAAGTCCAGGTAGGCGACATGGCCGTGGTAGAAACCTGGTTTCATTTCTCGCCAGGATGTCACATTCCTTACAAACCTCATCTGTAAGCACAAGATAACACATTCGATTTGTCCCTGTACAGTTTATAAACCTCTAAATGTATTTTACTGCATGTGTGATATGCCCCCATCATTCAAGCATCAGCGATATCCAAATCTCAAATAACAATCTCGCACTGACGTACTGCATCTGTCACGGGCTGCTAAACCAACCAGCCAAAAGACTACTTAATGCAAACACATTTCAGCAATGTTTTCTCCAAAAGCACGTGTGATCAGTGTGTGGGCAATAAATCTGTGTTCTCATTCACCCCGCGACACATGGAAAAAAGAAAGTTGGATTTGGAAAGACGAAGGTGAGTAGATAAAAGTAAAGTAAAAGTAGAGAGCAGAATGGTCTTTTTTTTTTTTTTTTTTACTATTCCTTTCATTCTTAAAAGATGACCAAGTACCTGTGCGGTACAGTTCAGTCGCTCCTCTGAAGAAACGTGGCAGGGCTGCCTCGAGCATCATGATAAAATCCTCCAGCTCCTCAGTCACTCCCACAAGCAGATACTCATTCACCAAATTATACTTGGCCTGCTCGAGAGCCCACTTACTGCCAACATTCCTGCACAAACAGACACATAAGATCATTTCCAGCTCCTACATACAGCAGTTTAGAGAACAAATCAGTAAAGAGTAAATCAATCAATTTGTCTAATGCGAACGAGCATTACATGAAAAACAGAGTAACAGGCTGCTCATATTACCCACCAGCACTCAGAGTAATGGCCACAGAAGAATGGGATCTGTAACCAAAGCTTCTCAGGAGAGCAATCAGAACCTCCTGATGACACACACTCCTCAAATGTCTGAAACACATTCACACATATTGCATCTTAGCATGCACATGGAGAGAAAAATAATAGTTACTTTGAATAATAGTTCAAAAAGATAATACCTTTTTGTCCCCCTGCTTTCTCCGCCTGAGACCTGGCCGATAATCATCTCCAAATCGGAGAAAATAGTAGTAAGACACCAACCTCTCGATAGGGTCCCGTACAATGTTGATGTAAACCGGCTTCCCCTTGACTCCAAACCTATTCAGGCAAACATTATTTTATATTATATTATAATTTATTTTATATTATATTATGTTATATATTATGTGGAGTCCACTCCACAAGACACCTGTCAAAATGCTTATTTTTTTACATTTTATTCTAAATTCTTAATTTTCCATTTTCTTCGTTACAATTATATTATCACCACAACAATCTGTGAAAAAAATCAAAATTGAATACAAATTTCTAAATTTCAATATATGTTATGTTCCTTTTGATCATGTAAAACAAAACAAAAATAAAACCTAATACAAACCAAATCAAAACAAAAAAATTCTGATTTCAGATTTAAAATCCACAAGAAAAAATAAAAACGTTCCACTTTCAACCACTAGAGTGCAGCACTTAAACGTATCTTCTCACATCAGTAAATTAAGTAGCTGTCTGATGGATGTCCAATTTTACAGGAACAGACAACAACAAATGTGCTATTAGATAAGGACTTGTGGGTCCTTATCTAATAAGGAATAAGGAATCTAAGTGGGATAAGGAAGTGTAGTGCAATTGCTTCCAGTGATCGTAGTGATGGTTTTGTATCAATCCAGCAAAACTTACTTTGTGAAGTCCAGGTAGGCGACATGGCCGTGGTAGAAACCTGGTTTCATTTCTCGCCAGGATGTCACATTCCTTACAAACCTCATCTGTAAGCACAAGATAACACATTCGATTTGTCCCTGTACAGTTTATAAACCTCTAAATGTATTTTACTGCATGTGTGATATGCCCCCATCATTCAAGCATCAGCGATATCCAAATCTCAAATAACAATCTCGCACTGACGTACTGCATCTGTCACGGGCTGCTAAACCAACCAGCCAAAAGACTACTTAATGCAAACACATTTCAGCAATGTTTTCTCCAAACATCCTCCCCATAGTCCCACAGCTGTACTCCGCTGGGAGGGAAAGGTTGTACCATCTGCACCGTCGAAAGGCTTTGTTGAAAGCTAGACTGGATATTACCTTGGCAAAATCACAGACAAATAACACCTTCCCTCCCACTGCTCCGAGGCATATTATTTAGTGGATGGCAATGACGTGAATACAAATGTAAACATACGCTAATGATCGCAGACTGACAAAGCCACATGCTGTGTTGAATAATGTTGTTGACACATGTGAGGTCAAAATGATGGAGCACCTTCAACTCTGCAAATAAAACTCAAGATTGCTTTCTGTTAGCTGACAACACGTTCCCCTATATAACAATACATGTGATGAATAGAGAATTGTCTTTCTTTGCTGTTGTCAACATGATCTGCAATTCATTCTTTGTTCTTCTTTTTATCTATCGGTTCAGCGCTGCTTGTCACACAAAGGCACAGTAGCATTTTGGATATTGACAGTAAGTTATGAATTATGGAGGTGGAGCCAGAGATGAGACTGCTTGTTAGACAGAAACGCAGGGTTTCTACGCTAACATTACCTGGACTGTCAGAGTGAGAATTGAGCAAAAGACCAATCGGAATGTCATCAGTACAAGCACAATACTCTGGTCTGAACTGCACAACTTAAGTGTGTCTGTAAAATATGCCCAATAGCTGGCATTTTCATATACAGTATCTGGCTATTTAATTATTACACTGTGTAAGCATTTTTGAGCGAATGGCTGCTGAAAATCCAGCTTTGCAATCACAGGATTCACATATAGAACACTTTAAATGTGGTTTTACATAGTGTAATTTAAAAGAACAAAAAACAGTTATGAATTTAAAAAGGGACTCAGCTGAACCACAAAACGACACTGGCTCCTTTTAGGGTGTTCTGAGTTCATATGAAGTGTTCATATACAGTTATATAGACCCTTGGACCATTTGGAGTGTTCAAACGAGCTAGGTGTGACAATCTCATTAATCTCTTTGACGACTCAAATGAGTGGACTTGCAAAACTTAAGAATTCTGTTCACATAATTGGTCTAAAATGTTAAATAATCTCATAATATTCACAGAAATGGCAAACATTTTGATGTAATGTAATGGCGCTTTTCCATTGCATGGTACTTTTTTAGTACCACTTCAGTTGAGGTAACCAAGCGAGCTGTACCGATACTAAAATGTGACGTATAAACACTGCAGATCACTGATTGGTCATTGGATTGGTTACTGATTGGTCAACAGCCACCGCAGTATCATTTGTTGCTTTCAACGACCGTCGCACGCAACTTGAATAAAAAGAAATGGCTGTATAGTGGTCAGTAGACGAGGTGGTGGCGCAACTATAATGATCAGTCTATAATCCCACCCACTTTGAAGCAGTACTAAACTGCAGTGGAAAAGCCGAGTCGTATCACGCAGTGGAAAATAGGGTTGGGCCGATAGATTCCATTGCATGGTACTTTTTTAGTACCACTTCAGTTGAGGTAACCAAGCGAGCTGTACCGATACTAAAATGTGACGTATAAACACTGCAGATCACTGATTGGTCATTGGATTGGTTACTGATTGGTCAACAGCCACCGCAGTATCATTTGTTGCTTTCAACGACCGTCGCACGCAACTTGAATAAAAAGAAATGGCTGTATAGTGGTCAGTAGACGAGGTGGTGGCGCAACTATAATGATCAGTCTATAATCCCACCCACTTTGAAGCAGTACTAAACTGCAGTGGAAAAGCCGAGTCGTATCACGCAGTGGAAAATAGGGTTGGGCCGATAGACGATGCCATCGTCCATCACCGATGGCTGACACACATCACGATGTTAAGCTGACATCGTGATTACTCCCCCTCCCACCCACCACCATCACCTCTCCCGCAATCCGCCGCATCCCAGTTCCGTGTTCGGAAAGGAAATGAAGTGTACTATGGAAACCCTAAAGGGAATAAATAGCCAACGAGATGGGAGGATAAAAAAATATTTCAATACTTTTTCTCACAATTA